GGAATGGCATCATGACCATCTATGTAAGATATCACACACACGACAATGTCGGGAAGGATAAGCAGAGAGCAGAGAGGACGGAGGAGCCAGGGGACTCATTTCCCCCCTCCCTCTCCCCCACTCCCTCTCTCTGCGGTTTTCTCGGGCAGACAGAAAGGCAGTGGAGTGAGTGAGTGGGTGGGTGTATGGCTTCCGTCGACCACATGTGCGTCGGTGGGGCTGGGGGGTGGGGATGGGTGGGTGCGTGGGGCTTGCCGGTCTTTTAATTTGCTGCTGCCGGCCGGCCGTCTGTCGATCCGTCTCTCTCTCTCTCTCTCTCTGTTGCTGTCTACCTTTCTGTCTGTCTGTCTGTCCACTGAGCTGGGCCGGGATGGTTGGGCTGTTGGGGTTGGTTGGGGCGGCGGGGGTGGGATGAGGTTGGGGCACACACACACACACACAGAGCTCCACCGACGACCACACACAGACACACTCATTCACTGTTGCTTCCGTGTTCCGTGTTGTCATGCCTGTCGTCATGTGTAAACAGACACCATCCATCCATCCACTTTGGGACACTGACACTTGCTTGCATCACACGTGTTGGATTCCAGGGAATATTTGTTTGTTTGTGTGTTGGCTTGATTGCTGGCTGGCTGGGCGTTGAAAGAAAGAGAGACTGATGAATGCATTCAAGTAACAACACAGCTGGTCAATCTGATGATCTGGTCGACGGATGGATGAATGTCAACAAATCCCTCTCACACACACACATCGACTACCAATCCAACACGTCATAGCAGCCCCCACCTATCAATAGAACCCCTCCCTCCCTCCCTCCCCCCTCGTGTGTGCGCTATCTATGTGTATATGTCTGTCTGTCTCGGTCGACTACTCGTCCTCCGTCGTCGGTCAATCACGGCATAGGGGGTGGTGGTCGCCCCATGCCGAACTGCACACCCGGCCCCCTGCAACACACACACACGCACACACCAACCACCACATGGACCCCATGCATGTGTTTGTGTGTCGCCATCGACTTGCCCACCCAGCCCCCCACTCACTCACTCACCCAGGGATCATAGGTGCGCCTGGTGGTTGGGGCGGTCGATACACGCCAGCCGGCATCCGAGGCGCATGAGGCGCAAACCTGCCAGTGCACCAACACAGCGAACCAACACACACTCATCCCCCGACAGCCCACACACTGTGTGTGTGTGTGTGTGGGTGTTGGCGGCGCTGACATTGGCGGCGGCCCCATGAGGTGTGTGTGTGTCGCCGCGTATGTGTGTGTGGGAGTCTGGCGAAGGTAGTGGTAAGTCGGGCTCGCAGCGAAGCCTCCTGGTGCCATGGGGGGCGACCCACTTGATGGAGGCAGGCAGTATGAACGAGAGAATTGGATAAATGGATGATGGATGAATGAATGGATGGATGCTTCGGTTACTTGTAGCAGCCTGGTGCTGGTGCCGGTGGTGGGGGCGGAACAAAGTCCCCTCTCACCCTCCTGAACAAATGATGAGGGACAAAGAGAGAGACAGACAGGGAGAGAGCCTCTGTGGGGGTCCTCTTGTGTGTGTGTGTCTCAAAGTCTCCCCCTCTCCCTCCCTCCCTCCCTCCCTCCCTCTCTCTCTCTCTCCCTCTCCCTCACTGACCCGCCACTCCCATATCCGGCGGCACCCACACCAGTCATCATCGAGATCGAGGGCGGCGGCGGCGGAGGTGGGCAATACGGCACGTGGCCACTGCAGTCAGTGCAGTGCACACACAGCCACTTGTCGCGTCTTTCGTTCATTCCTTGATGTGATGTGTCCATCCAATGTTTGTTTGCAGCGTACGGTGGCATGTTGTTGACTGCGGCGCGCTGCTGCTGGGTTTGCTCATGCTCATAGTCTTCTGCGTCATCACGCGGCGACCTACTGCTGCCCATACACACATACACACACACACTTTTGCTCACAGACATACTGATGGATGGACGGTGTCGTCTGCTGTCACCTGTAGCGGCCTCCCCCTCTCCCTCTCCCTCTGCCATAGGGCTCGAAGCGCTCACTGCGACGAGGGTATCTGCTACCTGCACACACTCACACACACACACACACGGACACACGGACACACACACGGACACACAACGCACACATGGACAGAGGCGGAGAGAGGAATGAGTTCGGCGTGAGTTGGGCCGTGGCGTGGCGTGGTGTGGTGAAGTCTCGCCGATCCACACCCACCATTGCTAGGTCCGTATCCTCCTCCCCTCCGCCCCCTGGCTCTGTCCCACTCCTCCTGGTCCCACTCTCCCTCCCCCGCCCCCGCCCCCGCACCCTCTCCACCATCCCCCTCCTCTCGGCCAGCATTGTTGTCTGTCGCCTTCGCTTTCGCCTTTTGCCCCCGCAGCTTGTCTATCGCCCGCCTCGTCGCCGAGACGATCACCTCGTTCCTTGTTTGCTTGAACGCCTCCATGCTCATGCCCTTCCCCCTGTGGATGTGTGGGTGTGTGTGCCGATGGTAGAGCTGCTCGAGCTTGACTATGTCGTCCTGTGTGCTGTCGGCGACGGTGCTAACGTAGCGCATACTGGCGACGAGGACGGCCTGGGCGGCGTCGATGTAGCTGGGGCCCATCTTGATGACGTCCAGCAGCTGATTGCGGATGTCGATCTCCTCTGCACGAATTGGCGCAGGCACCACGATGGATGGATGGATGGATTGAGGGAGGGGTGGGGGTGTTCGTTGCCTGCTCTATGCTGTCCTACTCACTGGGTGTGAAGTTGTCGGCGTTGCGGAGGTCCAGCAAGTTGTAGCTATCCTGCTCACACACACACACACGCACACCATAAGAGAAGGTGCAGGCCGTGCTAGTGCTCTCTGCCACTCACCTCTGTCGTGTCGGATGTGGCGGATGTGGCGGATGTGGTGTGCGACACCCCGGAACGCTCAGACACCTCCCCTGCAGGCGAAGCCTGTGTGCACCAAGGAAACCGGTTCAATGGTGCTTCTCCCTCTCCCTCTCCCTCTGTGTGTGTTATCTTATGTGTGGTACCGTCCCGCTGTATGCCCGTCTATCGGCCATCTCCCCCGTACAGTCTCCCCCATCACCGGCACCCATGGCAGCCGATGGTCCTGGTCCCACCCCCACGCCTCCCCCTCCCCCGGCCGCCCCCGACGCCTCGCTCGTCCCGTAGCTCCTCTCAGAACCATGGTCAGCATCTACGACGTGCACCTGTGAGCCCATCCATCCATCCATCCATCCATCCATCCACCACATCCGACACATCCGACACACTGCACTGGATGGTGTGGTGTGCCGTGGTGTGGGTGTTTCCTCGAGGGAGGGAGGTCTCCCCTCCTGCCGCACTTACGTGTTTGTTAGAGGCGGTGCTGGTGGTGTGTCCTGCTGGCGGTCCTTTGACGTATGGCGGCTGCTCCCACCACCGCAGAGCCTTGGTGGGAGCCTCGGGCTCCTCCTGCCGCTCCTCCTGCCGCTCCTCCTGCTGCTCCTGCCGCTCCTGCTGCTGCAGAGCTGCAGCTGCCTCGGGCTCATCCCTACTATCGGGGACTACCTCAAGCGCCGCCCCGTCCGTCATCTCCTTCCCCCTGTCCCTCCGTAAACGAAAAATCTGTTTCACGAGCATCGAGATCTGACACCAACTCTTCTCTACGCCGTGATGGCTGTCCTGATAGGCGTGTTGGCGGTGGTGGCGGTGGTGGTGGTGTGTTTGCCCATCGCAGGAGGTCAGATCTCGGCGGATGCAGAGGAGGGCGTCGGCCCGATGATGCCCGTGAGCGCAGTCAGGGAGGGGATTGGCCTCGACGCCATCCATCGCATCAAGGCCAACTTCTCCCTCGACACGCTGCTTCTCGCTGGTACGTATGCATCACATCTGACATCTGACCTCCTGTGTGTGTGACGATTTGATTTGTGTTGACTTGACCCAGGCGATGTGGCGCTCTACTACAACGGCCATGTCTCCGAGTTCCACCCAAGCAGCGTCATCAGGCGAAATGGGTCGGTCGCCGAGCTGCCTGTTGGTGCTGACGTCGGCGTCGAGATTGACATCGGCTCCATCCGGGCGAACACAAGCCTCGGCGAGATGTCACTGGACGACTTCCTCAGGCACCCAGCCTCGCGCATGCAGGCCTTTCTGGTCATCCACCGGGGGGCCATCTTGTTCGAGGCCTATCCGGGCATGCGGCCTGAAGATCTGCACTTGTGGATGTCGTCGACCAAGACGGTTCCCAGCCTCATCGTGGGGCAGCTGGTGGACGAGGGCAAGGTCGACCAGCAGGAGCCTCTGTCGGCCTACATCCCCTACCTGGCAGACAAGGCGAACGCATCGGCCCTGGCAGATATCAAGGTCATCGACGCGCTTGACATGAGGCTGGGGCTCGATGTGGGTACGCGCCGTCAGCAACCACCAGCTCGACACATCAATGAGCTCAGTGACTGGGAGGAGCTCCCTCTCTCTCTGTCTGTCTGTCTGTCTGTCTGTCTTTGTTGCAGAGGAAACACAGGCGACGCAGCGGGACCCCTCTTCTGGGATCCGGCGCGTCTTTGCCGCCGAGTTCGGCGAGCCAAACCCAGAGGGCCAGGTGCTCCCCCTTCGTGATGTCCTGCTGTTGCTCGAGAAGCTCCACGCGCCGGGAGAGGTGGTGGGCTACACATCCGCCGCCACCCAGCTGCTGGTGGACCTGGCAGAGGCAGTGGAAAACCGCACCTGGGCGGCACTGGTGCAAGAGAGGATCTGGGGGAAGATGGGAGCGGAGGGCGACGCTGTGGTGGCTCTCACGCCCGACGGCTTGACGGCGCTCGGACACGGTTTGTTCGCTTCGCGCTTGCGCGACTTCGGCAGGTATGGGATGATCTACACGCCGAGCGCTTCTGACAAATCGGTGGTGTCGGCGGCCTACCTCGACCGCATTCAGACGGGGGGCCGGGTGGACTCGAGCGGCGCGAATATCGACATTATGAGGCGCATGGCGGAGGGCTTTGCGGAGGAGCCTCTATACAACAGCCAGCAGTAGGACGCCGTATTCGCCGACGGCGACATCTTCAAGGTACGTGGCTGACTCACTCACTGACGCACCATCCATCAACCCCTCTCTGTGTGCGTGTGTGTATTGCGTCCGTCGATCGGTCAGGGTGGCATATTCGGCCAGGGACTTTATGTGTCCCCTGGGAGGGATCTGGTGGTGGTGTGGTTTGCAACCACGTTCGAGCTGGGCGCGACGCTCTTCGCGCGTGAGGTTGCTAAGGCGCTCGCATAGCGGCCTTAGCCACCCAGACAGACAGACAGACAGACAGACAGAGAAAGGGGCCCTTTTTGTCACTCTCTCTGTCGGCCGACTCCTTTCTGGATTGCCGCGGCCGGCTGGCGGTCTCAGTACGTTCTGCTGCCCTCGGTGTGTGATATCATGTGATGTGTGTTATGCTTTGCGTGGTGATGATGATGATGATGTGTCATTTTGCCGCGGTCTTTATTATGGCTGCGTGCATTCACACTGGGGGTGACTGTCTTGCTGTGTGCCCTTTTCTTCGTAAGGGGGGAGGACACGCTGAACGTCCTTCGATTTCCTTCCTGGCCGTGAGACAAGCGAAAACAAACCAATGTGCTCAGAGAGACTCCTCGGCGGTTGGCTCTTTTCATTGAGGTGCAATCGTGCGGTATCCGTGTGCGGTGCACTGGCTCAGCCGGGAAGTGAAGGAATGTAAGCGATCCACTCGCCGGGGGAACTGCTCTAAACCGCTCCCCGATGCGAATCTCGGTCATTGACTCTCACAGCGATGTTTCTGTGCGGACGGTGGTGCGGCAGAGCCGCCACAGCACCTCACGCCGCCAGCAGCAGCAGCAGCCGCCCGACTCAACGAGGCAGCCACGCGGACCACTCAGGCAGATCAGCAGCAGCAGCAGCGACAAGGGGCGGCCGTCGTCACTCCCACTCCCACTCACACAGGCCTCCTGCCGTGCTTCTGGCTGTGGAGAGCGAGCGGCACGATTTGCTTGGCTTCCTGCCGCTCGACGAGGATGATCTTGATGTTGTCGACGGGAGCGGTGAGGCTGCTCTTGACGCTGCGGGCGATGACCGGCGAGGAGCGCAGGAGGTCCGTATGTGCAAAGACGATGACAGAGCACACACCGCAACACAGCTGTCTGTTTGTCTATCTGTCTGTGTGTGTGTGTGTCTTTTTGTGGCACGTTTAGCCTCTGAGCGATGAGGACGGCATCGACCCAGTGTCCGAGACGATGCTTCTCGACATGGAGGACGACCACCCCGCCCCCTTCGCCACCACCCCCTGCAGCCCGCCCTGCACCCGACAGCCACAGCCACCCAATCACCACCAGCATCTCCACCACCACTTGTCTGTGTCCTCGCCGTGTGCAAGAAGTGCAGCTGGTGGTGGTGGTGGTGGTGGTGGGCCGGTGGTCATCGAGCTGGAAGCGCTGCCGTCCCACCACTCGGACCCGCCAGCCTGCGAAACGCCCCCCTCCTGCACAAACAAGAAGGCCTCGCAGCAGCACAGCAGAGGAGAGAGAGGGGGAGGGGGGCAGGCGCAGTCTGCTCGGCGGCGGCATAGCTACACCTACACGCCCATGTCCATGAGCGGCGATGCACTCGATCTGCAGCAGCAGGCGCAGCCAAACAGGTCGGTGGCTGGGGGGAAAGGATGACACTGAGGAGAGGACATCTGTGTGTGTGTGTGTGTGTGTGGATGGCTGTGGATGTGTGTGGGCAGCTCCCCGGCACTGTCAGCCAGGGAAGGCCCTGTGAGCAAGCCGGACAGCGAGAACCATCCCGGTGGTGCGTCGGGGAGGAGGTTGGGAGCGCCGCCCCCCAAGAAGCGGAGGTTCCGGGTCAGGATGGCTTCTCTGCCATCGCCTGGAGGCCGTCACACGGAGCAGCCTGACAACTGCGTCAAGCGGACCAAACAGTACGGCAGGCCTTCACGCGCACCGCAACGAAGGCCAAGTGCATCTCTCTCTCCCTCTCTCTCTCTCTCTCTCTGTCTGTCTGTGTGTGTGTGTGTGTGTGTGTTTGCAGAAGTGGTGAGCCCGTGGTGCGTTCTGCCTTCGCGGTGCCTTTCAAAGTGAGCCGCTCGCTCCGGGTGCTTGTGTCCAAGCGCAAAAGGCGGCTGGTGTGGACGGACTACGACCTCGACCTGAGGTAGGTTCGTGTGTGCGCCTCCATCCATCCATCCATCCATCCATCCAGTTGTGTGTGTGTGTTCGTCAGTTACATAACGAGTCGTGTGATAGCGATGGGTTTCCCGGCTATAGGGATTGAGGCGCTCTTCCGCAATCCCCGACGGCAGGTGCGGAAGTACCTCGACCACCAGCACGGCGACAGCTACCGGGTAAGCTGAGGTACCTCAGAGGAGGAGAAGGGAGGGGACGTTTTGATGAATGGCGGAAGGCGAGCCTCTGTGTGCGTGTGTGTGCGTGTGTGTGTGTGTGTAGGTGGTTAACTTGTGCAGCGAGTCTGAGCGTCAGTACCCTTGCAAGACGTTCGACGGGCGGCTGGTGTGCTACCCCTTCAAGGACCACACCCCCCCACCCATCAAGTAACACACAACACACAGAGACAGAGAGAGAAAGAGAGAGAGAGTGTGTGTGCATGTCTGTCTGCCTGCCTGATGTGTGTGTGTGTGTGTGTGTGCCTGATGTGTGTGTGTAGGATGATGCTGTCCTTCTGTGAGGATTCCGTCGAGTGGCTGAAGGAGAGCAAAGAAAACGTCCTCGCCGTGCACTGCAAAGTGAGCAACCAAACCATTCCCCCCCCCCCACACACACACACACCCTCCCTCCCTCCCTGCCTCTGTCAGGCCGGGAAGGGCCGCACGGGCGTCATGGTCTCTGCTCTGCTGCTTTACACAAGGGTGGGTTGGCGGGCGTGTGAGGGTGCGGAAACAATGAAAATGGTCGTGTTGCTCTGTGCTCTTGTGTGCTGTGTGGTGTGTGCTGTGTGTGCTGTGTGTGCTGTGTGTTCTGTGTGCTGTGTGGTGTGTGTTGGGTTCTTCCGTCAACCAACCAATCACCCAATCAGGCGTGCGCCAACCCCGATGCGGCCCTTCGGCTCTACGCCAAGGCACGCACCATCGATGGACGGGTGGGTCAGGAGAAAGAGAAAGCAGCGAGACAGAGACGGAGATGGGTGTATCGTATCTGGTGTGTGTGTATGTGTGTGTGTGTGTTGTGTATTGTCTTCATCCTCCTGCAGGGGGTGACGATCCCGTCGCAGCGTCGGTTTGTGCATCATTTCGCCGCGCTGATCACCCCCGCCCCGACGCTGCCGATGCCCATCCTGGGCAACCCCCTCACCGACACACACAGCCCTCTCATCAAGCTGACACGCATCAGGTAGCCACCACCATCACCCCTCCCCCTGCCAGCAGACACACAGGGAGTGTGTGTGTGTGTGTGTGGTCAGGTTAGGGCCTTGGTCTTTGTCGTATCGGTCGCTCATTGATCGGCTGGTGCTGTGGCTGGTGATTGAGAAGCGTGACGGCTCGGTGGTGATGCAGAGCAGCGACGCGCCGGGGAGGCTGAGGACCCGCAAAACCGGCGAGTGGAATGCCTGCTACGTCGAGCTCGTAAGCAATGGCGATGGTGTCTGTCATGTCAGGAAGCTTGAACACATGGGGGATTGGTGTGATGTTGTGTGGTGGTGGTGGTCATCAATCAGATCTTCGAGAGCGCTGTGTGTGTGGACAACGACTTTGTGATCCGAGTCAAGGACACCCGGTCGACCCACTTCAAGCTCGCCGCGTGGATCTGCACACACTTCATGTCAGTCGAGTCGAGCGCTCCCCTCCGCCCCCTCGACTCGACACACAGCCTTGCCCCATGTCTGTGTGTCTGTCTGTCTGTGTCAGGCGTCGTGTGAGCCACCAATCATTGTCTCTGCCAGCGGCGGGCAGCCCCACCGACACACAGGCCCCCGCGCCCTCCCCTGCACATGCCAACCATCCCACCAACAGCACCAGTGGCAACCCCATTGAGGTGGAAATGTGCGATTTCACCTCCAAGAACAAGAACAAAAGCAGAGGTGGTGGTGGTCCCCATGCTGGCCATGACGGCATCGACCGCACTGAGAATGACAGCGAGAATGGCGGCGACACAGCGGGGGCGGGGGCGGTGGCGGACAACGAGGCGGAGGCCTATGAAAATGACTGTGGTGGCAGTGGGGGAGGTGGTGACGGCGGCAGCTGGTCTGATGTGGCGAGCCCCGTCACCAAGCACAGCCTCAGGGGCATGGGCAGCAGGAGCCCCTCGAGAGTGCCGCTGCTGCAGCCCGACGCCATGCCGGCCTACGACCTGTGTGCGCGCATCGAGAAGCACCAGCTGGACAAGCTGAGCAAGGTCAGTCAGTCGCCCAAGGTCAACGTCACACACGTCACACACACGTGCGCGTGTGTGTGTTGTGTGTGAAGGATAAGAGCGATCGCCACGCGCCGCCCCACTTCGCCATGGAGGTCTTCGCCGTCAACCTCACCCCCACCCCAACGCCCTCCCCCAATGAGGCTGACAAGGCCGACTACAGCAATGGCAATGGCAATGGCGTGGAGGCTCTGAATGACGTGGTGGACGGGGTGACGCCGTGACGGACGTGGTCTGTGTTGTGTGTGGGTCTGTGTGTGTGTGGTGTTTTTGCGCACCTGGCCTGTCTGCCAGGGAGGGAGGTGGCAGCCAGTCGTGGTCGGTGCTTCTTGATCTTTCTCATCTTTCTGTCTTGTGTAAGAATGTGCTGCTGGCGCCTCTCTCTGTTCTGATGAGAGGAGGGACACACACACACACACACACACAGACAGGGGGGAAAGTTTGCTGCGTGATGACTGACACACGACACACAGAGGACGACATATCGAATGTGTGTGTGCGTGTGTGTGTGAGGATGCACCATTTTTCTTCTTCTTCCAAAGGGCAGGCGGGCCGCCGACTCACTCCGTCACTTGCTGTCACTGCTGCTGACTGAATCTCTTTTATGGGTGTGGTCTGGTGCTGTCTGGTGGATGCACACCCCATCCATCCATCCATCCACGCCGCCACCTCTCTCTCTCTCTCTCTCTCTCTGTGTGTGTGTGTGTGTGTGGTCGAGTGAATGATGTGTGTGTGTGTGTGTGTTTTTCTTTTTTGACGCGCCACAGACCGACCGACCGACATTTTCTCGTCATCCATCTTATCTCCCCCACCCCACCCCACCCCAACATGTGCACCGCACCCTCATCCAATCCATCCACACACACACACACGGGGTTTTTCCCTCTTATTCCTTCCTCCCGCTTTCTTTCTGTCTCCTCGTTTCAATGACTGCTCACTCACTGGTCTGTTGTGTACCGCACTTACCTGTCCCCCACCCCACCCACCTCTGTCGCACACATGAGTGTCAGGAAGGTTCTGCAGACTCTGCACTGACCGATCAGTCCCTCTCTCTCGACCTCGTCTGTGGCCACGATGCACACGTGGTTTCAGACGGGATCATGGGCAGTGGACTGACTGGTCGATTGCTGCAGAGCAGAACAAAGCAGACGGCACGGCATGAGATGGGACACACCAACGCGCCAAACACAGACAGACAGAGGAAGGGGCAGGGTAGGGTGGGGCTGGAGAGAGGGAGGGAGGGAGGGAGGGAGCAATAATCAGATCACTTTGTTCGCACGGCTGGCCCTCCATCCATCGATCTGTCGGTCCGTGTGCGGCGCCTATGCAGCAGCTGCCACACAGACGAGCTGTGCCAAAGGAGACCACAGCTCCCATTCTGTGGTGCAGCTGCTGTGTATGCCCCACACGGCCGGACAAATCACCCATGGGGGATGGCAGGCAGGCAGGCAGGCAGGAAACACGAGAATTGATGTGAAGCAAAAGTGGTTTTTTCAAGTGTGTGTTGTTTGAACTAATCAGACGTCTGACTGAAATGGGGGCGGGGGGCGTCTGGAGGGATGGAGGGATGGATGGATGAGTAAGATACGACTGCCTTCCCGACACACAGGCAGACACGTCACGTGTGGGTGTCTGATGGATGGGTGTGTGTAGGTGTGCATGGCTGTCTGTTTATGTATGTCGGCCTGTGTGTATGTTTGCGTGTCTGTGTCGTGCCCTCCAGTGTTTTGTCAATGTGGTGCACCTTCCTCTCCTTCCCTCCTCCCCTCCCTTCCTCCCTGTTGTCTACCTCACTTCCTGCTGCTATGATGTAGAGTATATCCCCATTCACTCTCCTGCCACTCTGTGTGCCTGCCTTCGTTTCTTCCCTCGGGCCTTGTCTGTCTGTCTGTCTGTCTGTCTGTCTGGCTCTTCGCCAGCCTCTCTGTTTGTCTGTCTGCCTGTCTGTCTGTCTGTCCGTCGTGTCCGCGTGTGTGAGTATCCATAATGCTCATCGCTCCATATCATCATCATATCATCTCATCATCATTGCTGGCGGCGATTCATGTAAACATTTTCGTGCGCACCGTAATTCCACATATACTATTGCACCTGCTGCTGCTGCTGCTGTCGCTGCTGGCCGTCTGTCTCCCCCTGTGTGCGGTGTGCGAGTCTTCGTGTGTCCCTTAGGGAGGGAGCTGGTATGTTGCTCATACAATTAGTAGAAGGAAGGCTGCGGGTGTGTGAGACACTCCTGTGTATGTGTGTGTGTGCGTCTTTTGCTCGAGCTCTTTTGATCTGCTCTATCTACGTATGTGTGTTGTCTCTACTTCTGAGTGTCTGTCTGTCTGTCTGTGGCGGCCGCGTGTGTGCGTCTGGGGGGAATGTGTGTCTCTCATGCGACAAGGCAGACAGACAGCAGACAGACGAAAGTGACTTCAGTCAGGGTGCCACAAAGGGATCCCGCGACTGTGTGGCCTGAATCAGATCGTGCGAGCTCTACTAGCCTTCGGCGCTCTTGAAAGCCAACTCAAAGGGCTCATTGACGACCACAGACATCGCAGCTAAGGAGAGAGATGCATCAACCAAATCAGCCCAATTTGGTCACAACAAAGGATAATGCTAAGCAGTCGCATACATTGAGCGTCCACCGACAGACACGCACCCTGTCGGGCGCCCCTGGTATGTGTCGCGTCTCGACATCAACCCACACCCACCCACCCGGGCAGCCCCTCACGGCTCCCGTGTGCGGCACGCCAAGGGCGGCCAGACAGGCAGGCCGGCTGGGGGCCGCATCACTACGTAAGGCGTCACCTGAGGGAGCGACAGAGGAGACACAAAGACACAGACAGACACACACATTCATATCAATGAAGGAATGTATGTCTTTCTTCCTCACCCAGTTGGTGTTGTTTCCCACGGCGGCCAGTGTCCCTCTGTGCGGCACGAGCCTTGCTGTGGCTGTGGCTGTGGGTGGGGCGTGTTGCTGCTGCTGCATGCCCATGTGCACCATCGGGTGGCACACAGGCACCCCCACAGAGCCAGGGGGGCGCACGGCACTGCCCGTCGCCACCTTGGTGGTCTCGGCGGGTCTGTCGGCGTCTTCACGGGACATGCCGACTCTGCGGTGAGCCGACCCGCCCCCACCGGCACCCCCACTCCCCGCCCCAGCCAATCCCACAAGCTTTGTGCCTCCGCGCTGGCCCTGGTCGCTGAGGCTCTCAGGCCCTTCTTGGCCGATGAGGGTATCGATGGCCTTGTCGATGGCGGCCTCCCTGCGACGCCATTCTTGGTCGTCCTCGTGGGCCATGCCGACCCGCCTCTTGACATCCTTCAAGTGGGTGTGGGTGGCGAGGGCTCTCTTGACGAGCCTCCCGCATGTGGGCGGCTTGTGGGTGTCGGTGGGGGGGAGGGGGTGATGGTCTGGCGGCGCGTTGAGGTCCATGTACTCGTCGAGACACTGCACACACACACACACACACACAGAAAGACAGACAGGTGAAGGCCCTTTTGGTTGTGAGTGGCCTACAAGTACTCACCCTGTAGTCCAGTCTGTTTGGTCGGTGCTCTCGGAGGCGAGCAACATATTCCTGATGGCCTGGTGCGACCCCATCACCCTCTCGGTGGGCCTCGAACTCACCCGAGCCAGGACCCACCGGCCTCTGCAGAGCGAGACGTACCCAAGCCAACAGAAAGAAAAACCCGTTCTTTTGCTCTCTCTCTCTGTGAGAGAGGGATGAGCTGCGCACCAGGACATAATTGTGGTCTGTGGGTGTGCGTCCCTCCTCTGTGGCTGATAAGATGGCGGAAAGGGCTTCGTTGAGGCAGCGCAATTGCTGCACGGCACGGAGGAGTCAATGAGAACAATGGTGGTGAGCGGGTGAATGGGGGTGTGGGGTTAGGGGGTGCTCACGTTGATGAAAGGTGTCGGTCCTAGTCGGTGCGCCATGCGTATCTTGCATGCCGAAACCTCAGGGCGCCGTCTGCAAAAAAGGCGACAGAGAGACATGCAGAGACAGTTGTGTTTGTCTCTTCCTTCTGGTTATGTTGTCACCTCTTGATCTCATCCACGGGCATGAGATCCCACACATTGTCCCCCACAGTGGCCACGTGGGTGATGCCGGGCCTCTTGCCCACCTCCTCCAGTAGAGCGATCGTCTGCAGACATCCATCCATCCATCCATCCAAGCATTTGTCGACTGACGCTCACTACGGTGCCGGCCCGTTTGTTTACCTTCGAAACCTCCTAGTGGCCCTCCTTGTCGTGTTTTGTCTGGGTGGGGGCGTCCATATGGGGGCGGATGAGCCTGTCCCTCGCCCGTTGGCGGGCGCTGACCACCGGCACGTTATTATCCGCGAGAGCGCGGCTTAGCCGCTCGAATGCCCCGGGCTGCAGAGTGGCGTCCAGCCTGCACACATACACACACAGAGGCAGGACAGAATGAGACATGAACAGGGAGGAAGGTGGACCAGTTAGCTGACCATCGTTGGCTGCCGTTAATGATGAGGATGGGGTCCCAGCCTGCCTCCTTGCAGGTCTGGACAACCTTCGCCGCCTCCCTACCAGTCTCCTCGAACACCCTGATGATCTCATCCACCCTCCCCCTCTCTCCCTGCCCCCCACCGAACGTGGCCCGGCCGCCGCTGGCCCCGCCATTGTCCACGTACTCACAGAGAAGCCGATGGACGCCTAGCGACTCCACATAGTGGCTGGGGATGAGTGAGTCGTCCAAGTCGAGGAAGATGACCTTATCCTTGGCAGTGGTGGTGGTGATAGTGGTGGTGGGATCGATGGGCGGTTGGGCGGTGGGGGGATGCTGCGATTGCGTCGCGCGGCTGGCGAGACGGCTCATGCTTTCGACGACAGGGTGGACGAGGCAGGATGCGATCTCAGTGCTGACACGCTGGTCAACCTGTCAGCGAGAAGCCCCACCCACGCACACAGCCACAGCCATGGGTGCGTACCTGCCTCTCTGTCTGTCTGTCTCACCGTCTGTGTGGTGGTCTTGATAGTATTGTCAGGGGCCTTCTTCTCGGGACACAGGCTAGGCATGCGAGACCCTGGAGCTGGAGCAGGGTCCAGATGCCTGAAGTGGGGGGGCACCATTGGCGATGACGCACTGCAAATCTGCATTATGACCCACACAGTACCGTACATTCCCTGATGCTGCGTCTTCATCCATCCACTGACTGGCTGACCTGTTGGCTCTGTTTGTGTGCGCGTGGCTGCCCTTTACGATGCCCAGCCGTCCCCGCGCCAGGCCCTCTCTCTCACAATCCCCCAGCGGCACAAGTGTCGGTGTGCGGATGATCCTGCTGCCGTTACGAACGATGCTGCCATGCATGGCCGACATGTCCGTGAGCTTGGGAGTGGTCACATGGTCCTGCTGCCCATTACTGCTGGCCCTGCTGCCCTCAGGATGCGAGTTGGGGCCGACGTGATGCCACGGCAAACCGGTGAAATGGCCGTATGGCGGCCCTCTGATGGGGAGGTGGGGGTGGAACGGTCCTGATTGGGGCGCAGGCAGGCCGAACCTGACGCGTGGGGCTGACGGTGCAAATGGGCCCTCACGGTGGTTACTGACGCTGATGAGGCGGCAGTGGGCAGCCGCTGACCCGGCCGCGAAGATGTGCTGCATCCTCGCGAAATCGAACTTCGAAATCTTGCGAGCTGAAAGGAATCTGCGAGCTGAAAAGCAACCTGCGGAGCTTTGCCATCGAAAGCCCGGTTTCTTCCCGTCCGGGGGCTCTTTGATACATCTGTCTGAGTCAGCTCCTGTGTCTGCCCTGGCTGCCCGGTTGGCGCGGTGCACATTCAAATGCACGTACGCTAACGACTCCCGCTACTGGAGGACGTGATTCTGCATTCATCCCTTTACTCGCTGATCACCGCCCAGTAGATGCCCTTGCAGAAGCTGACTTGAGCAGGTACGTGAGCGGGGGGCAGGCAGGGCACTGCGTACCTGTATTTGCTGCAGTGCTCTCCGCGCAGGCCTAGGGATATCTGGGCCCCTGCTCTATTCCATCTGTATCTGCCACCCATGGCGAAACGATTCACCCTCCCGTTCGTTTTCGCCGCCCTATTGTGTGCCAGCGCAGACCTGGCGTCAGGACTCCCGGAAGATATCGGCGTGGCAGGTCTGCAATCGGTCCTGGAGGCGATCCGCACCAGCCTGCAACTACCCGCACTCGCCGCAGACCCGGCGTCAAGACTGCCGCAAGATATCGATGTCGGCGTGGCGGGGGACGGAGGTCTGCAATCGGTCCTGGAGGCGATTCGCACCGGCCGGCAACTCCCCGCACTGGCCGCAGTCTCGGTGCACAATGGACAAGTGGTGGAGATGGCGGCAACTGGCGTGCGTGCGATTGGGTATGAGGAGCAAGTGCAGACCGACGATCTGTGGCTCCTCAACTCCGTCAGCAAGGCTATCACAGCGACCCTTGCCGCTGTGCTGGTCGACCGAGGACTGCTGTCGTGGGAGGCGACCATCGGTGAGATCCTTCCCGACCTGGTGCCCTCGATGCGCGACGAGTACGTCGACGTCCCGCTGCGAGAGCTGCTCTACCACACCGGCGGACTCCCAACAAAACTCTTCACTGAGCATTTCTCCTGGGCGTCCCTCTTCACTGATTCGACTCCGATCATCGAGCAGCGACGGGACTACGCGGCCGAGCTGCTCGCCGAGCCGCCTGTGGGTCCACGGGGAGAGCATAATTACAGCAATGCCGGCTACGTGGTTGCGGGAGTGATGATGGAGGAAGTGACGAGAGTGTCGTGGGAAGAGTTCGTTCGAGTGGAGATTTTTGAGGCGCTGGGGATGGCCTCGTGTGGCTTCGGAGCGCCGGACGGCTCGGGTCGAGACCAGCCGTGGGGTCACTGGGGAGTCCCGGGTCACTGGACGGCCATTCCGCCTGCGCTCGCTGACGTGGTTAGTAATATCCCGCCAGCTATCGGGCCAGCGGGGTCGGTGCACTGCTCCGTGGCCGACTACGCAAAGTTTATGGTCGAACACCTCGCAAATGCCACCGGTGCAAAGGACGGTATCGTGAGCGCCGACAGCTTTGACGAGCTGCACTCGCCGCCACCTGGGTCGCCCGACTACTCTATGGGCTGGGGTGTGAGCTCGAGCACATGGGCCAAAGGTCGGGTGCTCGAGCATGACGGAACCGACTGGTTGTGGGTCACGTACGTCTTGCTCGCTCCGGAGATCGGGCTTGGTCTCTTCGTGGCGACCAACAGCTACGACTTTGGAGGAGGCCTTGACCACCTGATCGAGGCGTTGATCCGGCGGCATCGCGCCGGCTTGTTTTTGAATGCCGATGGAGCATGATGCTGGGGCGGCTGCTTGTGTTCTACCTCGTGTGTCGATCTCACCCATCCGTCCATGTGATCAACGTTGGATCTCGCTCGGGGGTCATCATGACTTTTTTCCTCTCGAGTCACGGTTGTCAGTGACACAAACATGACTCGGCTGCTCTGACGTTCAATATTAATTCGTGTGGCGTATGCGTGGACGTGTGATTGCATGTAGATGTGTGCAAACCATGCATGGGCTACTTAATCGAAGAGCCGCTTGTAGGCGCTTGGTGTGCGTACGTACGTTATGGGTGTGTCGGCTACGTCAAGACAAGCCCCTCTCTCTCTCTGTCTTCTGCGTTCTTGTCTCTCTGCGATTAGGGGGCGGTTGGGGAGGGAATCGCTTTGTCTGTCAGCACGACTAGTTTGTTGGTTTTTTGTGCTTGCCAGCAGTGCTGTGTGCCTCTGGTTAGTCTGAGTGGCAGCAACAGGACATTGCACGACGTGATGATGTCTCTCTGCCCGTCTGTCTGTCTGTCTGTCTGTGTGTCTGTCTGTCGCACGCCCTCTTTTCCATGACGAGCCGTGCTGTCAAAACCGAGTGAGAAGGTCACTACGCTGATGTGCTCTCAGCTTTACGTACTGACATACTGACATACTGACACCAACCATACTCGTACGTGTCAATCAATTCACATCAATTCCTCTACGAATGGCTCTTTGGGACGCTCCACACGTATTCGGCCGTTCATCCATCATTTCCTAGTCCCGCACATCCTTCCTGCACTTAGACTCCATCAGCTGGGGCCAGGCAGCACAGGACACCTGCACAGCAAGACATCCATTCGATACATACGTCAGTGCGCATACATACTTGGGCATGCACCCACTGCTATTGGTATGTACCCGATGAGAAGAAGCACACGGCCAACACAATTGCTGCCACAGCATGTTGGCTGAGTCTCGAAGTCGAGCTTGGCTTTGTGCAGTTGACGAACGGCCTTTTACTTAAGCACAAACAGCCAGCCGTTCTGCTCATGCAGAAGACTGACTGATGACCGATGAGAGCGGGTGACGTGCCAAAGAATGTACGCACATAAGTCGAATATTCGACACATGGCACGGCCCACGGTCATGTGTGTATGTCTCTACTGCTCGCGCCAGCGATGTCTGTCTGTTTATCTCACACCCACCGCACTGACTTAAATGAATGAATGCCCTACTGACTGACTGGCTGGGTGGCTGGCTGGCCTGCTGACAAGCCGGCTGGCTGTCCGCAGACACACACCCATAAAGGCCACCCCCCCCCACCCACCCAGTTCACCAGCCGATCACTCACACGACTCCCCATCCCAGCAGCGGTGTCTCCTCCGTCTCTTGCCGAGTGATCGACTCCCTTCCCAGCAGCAGCCGCGTGTCGGATGGCGACCCACGCGAATCATTCAGCCCACCGTAATCGCCGCGGAAGCAGTCCTGCAGGTCGGCATTGCACCCCTCCGGCAGCCCGCCCGCCACTGTCGGCTCCCGCAGACCCGCCACGGCAGCCTCGAAGGGGTCACCTTGAGCCAGCCTGCGAATCAACTGTGGCACGCGCACACACACACACACAGAGAGAGAGAGAGGGGGGGGGGCGATCAGTTGCATGTGTGTGCAGACAGACAGACAGACAGACAGACAGACATGGTCAAGTTACATGTGGAGGGTGTTCGGTGGCGTATTGGAGGGCCAGGGTCTCTTCCTCGAGCATCTGGCAATACAGCTCCTTAGGGAAGTCCGTCTCGTCATACCCGAAAGGATTGCTGATGCGCTCGGCCAGACGCAGCAAGCCGTGATAAAACACAGGAATCGTAAACAGAAACAGCAGCTGTGCGCAGGACACCACACACCACACACAGCGATACACACATGAGAAGACATCATGTGGGTGTGCCAAGCGGCCCACCTGCTGAATGAGCAGCTGGCTGACATTCCACGCGTCAGCTCGGCTCGCGAAGGGCGTCGTGTACTCGTCGCGCGCGAAGCCCATCATAGGGGCGCGTTCGTTGTCGGCCACGCGAGCTGTGCACTTGCCCAGTACGATGCCCGAGAGCAGGCCCACGAAGATCGAGTTGATGTGCACCAGGATGCCCAGCAGGTGCACATACGAGAAGGGCAGCTGCGTGTCCACATACGTCCACGTGTTGCTCACGGCTGACCGGGCCTGCACACAGACAGACAGACAGACATCCGCCATGTCTCTCTCCCTCTGTGTGTCTCTCTTTATTGTATGTGTTGACCAGTAAGTGGCTTACAGAGAGGGAGATCTTGTGTGCGACGCCAAGGGCCATATCAGGATGGGCAAACCGGCCCTTCTCCGCCAAAAGGGAAAACAACTGCATCCATCCATGCCGTCACACACATACACACGCACGCAGAGAGAGTACATTCGGCGTCCATCTTATCCTGCCGCGACTATGCAGCTTTCTTTGCCTGGCTGACCTTGAGCACCCATCCCCACACCAGCTCGGCCTTTGCTGCGTTGCCTCTCTGGAGGATGGCCGCTTCCTCTTTGGTCAGCAGCCCCCTGTCCATCAGCTCGTTGAGGTCCTCTGAGCCGCGGGCCGCATCGAACGTCAGATGAAACGAGGCTAGACCATACCTGTCAGTCAAGACACACACACACAGGCAGACAGACAGGGGCGTGTCAACGCCTCCTGTGTGTGTGCTGGTGTGAGTGCCTGCCTGCCTGCGGAGCATGGCTTTGGCCTCCTTCATGTCTTCGGGGAGGTGCACCGATGCCACGACCACTAGGTTGGCAATCCAGCACCACAGCTCAGATATGCACTGCCGCGCCGCCCACCATCGGGACAGCGCAGTGCTCAGATACAGACCCAGCAAAAAACCGATGATCGTCTGCACACAAAGCATCCATCCATCCCCGGCTGGCGAGTCGAGTCGGCACCGGGCACTCACTGACTCACCGCGAAGTAGTTGACAATGTTTTGGAAGGACTCGTGAGAGATCCGCTCGGCCTCCGGCTCCCAATAAGCCAGGCTGACACATAGGGTCAGGGCGAGACCCCAATACACACAGCACGACGCCCACAACGTCTTGGACGAGAATACCGTCCCCGTGCAGTACATAAACACGCGCCACGTGCTGCAGACAGAAATGGAACCAACCACACAACACACAGCCAAGTCAGTCCATCAGCTTCGGTGCATCCAGTCAGATCTGCTTGTGTCCTCACTGACCTGAAGACGCGTTCGTCGTAGTGGATCAGCTGCGCTTTCCGCCTGCCATGACGGCCCCGAGTGGGCATGTAGATGACTGTCCTCGACGTCGTCCTTCGCAGCATGGTGATGGATGCATCAAGCGGGAAGAAAGAGGCAAGATCTCTCCGCAGTCACCTTTCAGAGCTCGCAATTCTCGACTTTGAAACACACAACCTTTGCGTGTTTCGTGTCCGGCTTGCATGTTAGCCTGTTTCATGTTGGACAGACCGACAGGGGACTTGGCCGTCAGGCCACCTAGGGTGCTCCCTGAAACCGCTGCGAGCTCGACTTTGAAACCGCTCTCGACTTTGACCCCCCCTTCCCCCCCGATTCTGTGAGTCGTCTCTTTGGTGCACGACAGACCGGCAGCAGCAGCCCTTCTCGGCCGGGAGCCTGCAGCCAGCCATGCCTACTCTCTGCGCATTCCCGCGCCCACCCATGCACCTGCCTGCCTGCCCAATTCATCGATCGATCGATCCATCGATCACTTCTGGCTGCCTTTCCTTTCTCCCATTGGCCAGCCTGCCATAGCCCCTGTTCATACCCTGCCCATGCCTTGCCTGCCTTCTGTGTCTTTCTGTCTCGTTGTCTGCCTATCGTCCCGCATGCATTCCGCATGGGCATGCGGGCCATCTCAACTGAGGGGCACAAGACCCGATGGAGGGCGTGCTTGTCGGGGAGGGGGCGAGTGTGCGGGGTGCGGGGAGCGGCGGTAGCCCTGCACGAGCTGGCTGTCAGCCTCTCGTGTCGGGGTTCGGACTGCCAATCCACCTCATGTGTACGATGGCAAGCCGCATCCCGCCACCGTCCGTCCTCTGCCCGGCCATCCGCAGACAGACACAGCCTCACACCTCGCCCTGGCCTTCACATGTCTCGGTGGAGACCGTGTTGGCTGGGTGGGGGCATCCCTCGTCCAGTCTGTAGACCGCTGAACACAGGTCAGCCTTCAATGACATGCACACCTTTCACCTTTGGTATGTGTCTCGTTTGGCCTTAATTGTTCTTGCAGTAGTGTTAGCGGGCCACAAGGCCTCGATGGAGGCAGTGGTTGGCTCGGGCGAGAAGGGCGGTGCGGTGTAGCCCTCGCAAGGGTTGGGACGCCAATATCCGCCGTCAAGACCATCTTCAATCATCGTAGGGGGTGAGGTGTAGCCGCCAAGGGCCGTGTGCCGTGGCCGGCTCGGACGCCAACAGCCCCTGGGCCGTCTTTCACACGTCTCGATGGAGACAGTGATTGCCGGCCCTGGTCTGGACCAAACCGAAGTGCTCCCCCCGACTCGCAAGAGTGGGTGTCAGACACTATTTGCTTTCCCCCTCTGCAGCACATGGCAACTTTGTGTGTGGATGGTGTGTGGTGATGAGTCAGGGTACGACACTCTCGATTGAGAGACGTATTGGGGGGAGCACTGAGTGAGCTGTCCATAGGGGTGCGGTGTAGGCACACCACATAGTGCTGTGTGGTTCGGACGCCAACAGCCCCTGCCACACAGACTCAAAACCGCCAACGACCGCTGTGGTGACTGAGTGATAGGAGGATGACTAAGACGGATTGGTACCCTGTTTGCAGGAATATGCAAAGTGTCCCCCCCCCCCCCCCCCC